AAAAAAATGCCCTGTTACCATTCTCAATATCGACAATATATCATTATAGTATTTGCTACATAAATCCTAAAACCCTACCCCTAATTTCAACCTCTCTAAACCTTCTCATCACAAACACCATGCCAAATAAATTCATCTATTAGTTAAAAATCCCGTCGCAGTAATCAACAAATAGAAATTTAGAGCATTATTGGAAAGGGGGGAAAAATAAATTACCTGTTTATTAGTCTGGGAATAATCAACCATATACTCATAGGCATCGGCCTGCGCATTAACCCTAGTTTCAGTGCCCTCAACGGGTAGGGCAAAAGCGTCCATCACAATAATCGCATCTCCGTCGGTCTTTCCCTGCATGAGCCCCATGACCTCAATCGTTCCGCCGGAGCGTGCGTGCACGACCATCTTGAGAAGCGCGAGTGCAGATATCTTCACGCGCTTGAAGAAGTGTGGGTCAATCGACCACGGTTTCTCTTGCTGGAACTTGACCTGCGCCGCCTCATCGTAGTAGAAGATGGCGTCCGACGCGGCGGAGGACGAGTCCGCGGCGTCGGCGGCGGTCGTGACTATGTTGTTCTCCAATTCCCAAGTCTGCCGTGCAATCGTTGATGAGGAGAAGAGATCCATTGTTGAGGTAGAGAGAGAGAATTTTGTAATTGGGAGACTGCTCAAAGTGTTTTGGTGTTTCTTCTGCTTTTGCTATGTTTTACATTCAAGGCTTATTTATAGTCTTAAATTTTCGAATTAATTGTTTTTCTTTTCAAATTAAAAAATAAATAAAAGTTTGAGATAATTCATAATTCACTACAGCCTAAAACCTATGTAATTATATTTTCCTAAATTCGGACAAGAGCTGATTTCTCGAGTTCATTCCTACTTAACATCAGTTTCAATTTGACAGGTGATCAAACAATCATAAACGAAATCGAAACAAGAATTCCTATTTAACATCAATTTGACAGATGATCAAACAATCATAAACGAAATCGAAACAAGGCACATGGGGGTGTCCATGTCTAGGTGTTTCTTATATAATTTGGAATATCTTTTTTGATTTCTTTTCTTTCTTTCGATTATTTTAATTTTTGTTTTGAATGGAATTCTAAATTATACATTATTATTATTGTAAATCATGATTTTCAATCAAAAGTGGAATTTAATAGAACTGATTGAAAAATACAGGCCTCTGCAAAAACAAACGGCTC